CAGCTTAGACGACTAATTTCACATGCCTTTTTTTGTTGTTTTTCTTAAATTAAGTGTCTAATGTGTCAGGCAATACTGTATGCACTGGAATGTAATTACTAAAAGACAATTAGTAAAAACCCTGATGCAGCCAGGTAGGGCAGCCCATCCCTGTCTTCCTACCAGACAGAAACAGAGTATGATGTAATAGATTCTAAATGTGACAGCCATTAGGGAGGAGAAACCTCTGCTGTTCCTCGTGGGTGTGTATGCAGCGCAGAGTGGGTGGGGTGGCTTGCAGGTTGCTAGGTAAGAATTGGGTGTGTGCATGACCCACGCCAAGGAGTTCTGTGCTGCTGAACATTGTATATGCTTTCCTGATTCCATGCAAGTCTGATTTTCTTATTTTAAGATTTTTTATTTTTAATTGTGTGTGTGTGTGTGTGTGTGTGTGTGTGCATTTGAACACAGTGCCAGTGGAGGCCAGGAGAGGGTGTTGTGTCCCCTCGAGTTGGAGTTGCAGGCAGGTGTGAGCTGCCTCATGGATCCTCTGAGCTGTATCTTAGTTCCGCTAGGCTGATTCTCTAAGGCACCTCTTCATGACTAGTTCCTTCACCGGGCCTTCACCCTGTGTGCATTAGGTATATGTCTCATTAAGCTTCTGTTGCTTTACTCTCGGTCTGTCTGTTGTTATAAAGCAAGAACTGATATAAATCCAAGAACTGTGAAAGGTAGAGTGAAAGCTAATTTTTTTCCTCTGCAGCTTTTAATGAATGCCTCTGAATTGTACACTTAAGCATGCTTAAAATAGTAGATTGAATGTCATGTAAATCTCACTACCAGTTTTTGGTTTTATTATTGTACATGCTAGTGTCCATTGTGACATATCGTACTTGTTTGTGTGTAACAGATTTGATGGTACCCTCCCCTCATTCTCGTGTACCCCTTTGCTTTCCATCCTTCTCTCTTCCAGTGACCCTTCTACTCTTGCCCCCCCCCAGATTCCATATGAGAAAGAAAGCACGGCATTTTATTATCCTCTCCTTTCTTCCCCTCCCCTCTCCTCCCCTCCCCTCTCCTCTCTTCTCTATCTCTGTCTCTGTCTCTTAATTTTTCTAGACAGGGTTTCCCTGTGTTGCTTTGTAGACCAGGCTGGCCTTGAACTCACAGAGATCTATCTTACCTGCCTCTGCCTCCTAAGTGCTGGGATTAAAGGCGTGCACCACTGCTTGGCTTCTCTTTTTATCTTGAGACAGATTCTCACTATATAATCCTGGCTGACCTGAATTCATTATGTAAACTAGGCCGGCCTCAGATTCACAGAGATCCTCCTGCCTCTGCCTCTGCCTTCTGCATACTGAGAGTAAAGGTGTGTGCCACTATGCCTGGCAACACCTGTCTTTCTGAATCTGGAAAAGTCTGGCTAATCTTGTTTTAGCATGATGATTTCCAGGTCCATGTCATAATTTCATTCTTTATGGATAAATAATATTCCTGTGCATGTGACAGAGAGGTTTTTTAAAATATTTATTTATGCATATGAGTGCTTTAGTTTGTATGTATACCTAAATGCCAGAAGAGGGCATCAGATCCCAATATAGATGGTTGTGAGCCACCATGTAATTACCTGGAATTAAACTCAGGACCTCTGGAAGAACAGTCAGGGTTCACAAACCACGAAGCCATTTATTAATCCATTCACTAGGCTGATTGGCTAATTTCATTCATCTTGGCTGTTATGGTGCAGCAGAGATCTGCAGATAAGAGCTTGGATTCCTTTGGGTGTATACCCAGGAGTGGTAGTTTTATTTCTAATTCTTTAAAGAACTTCCATAGTGGCTTCCATAGTGGCCAGAATAGCTTACCTTCATCAGCATTGTATGGAGGTTCCTTCTGTCTAGCCTACCCTTGCCAGGAAGTAATTCCCTGAGTGGACATTTGAAGGAGTACCCTGTTCTTTGCCTTCCTGTCCCTCTGCTTCCTGTGTGCCCTGAGATGAGCGGTTTTCCTCCACCATGATGTTTTTGTCTTGCCACAAGCCTAAAAGCAGTAGAACCAGATGGCCATGGTTTATCCAGCTCAGAATTCCTCAACACATTGACTCATTGATACAGTTACAGCCCTCACAACTTAATCATCTCTCAAAAGACACCAGTTGGCAACAGTCCCTTAACACACTCTGGGAATAACTTTTTGGACTCAAATAGTAACAGTCCCTCTGATGGCTAATCATGGTTGTCAACTGTTGGGATTTAGAGTCACCTAGGTGACAGATCGCTGAGTGTGTCTGTGAAAGAGTTTCTGGTTAACTGAGTGGGAAGACTCCCTTAAGTATGGGCGGCACCAATCCCTAGGCTGGGGGCCCAGACTGAATGAAAAGGAGAAAGGGAGCTGAGCACCAGCATCCTTCCTGACTGGGCACACAGTGACCAGGTGCCTCATAACCATGCTGCTGTGATTTCTCCACAGTGTGGAATTGTATGCTCCAACTGTGAACTAAAACCATTTTTTTTCTTTTTTCTTTTTTAGTTTTACAAGACAGGGTTTCTCCGTGGCTTTGGAGGCTGTCCTGGAACTCACTATGGAGACCAGGCTGGCCTCCAACTCACAGAGATCCACCTGCCTCTGCCTCCCGGGAGCTGGGATTAAAGTCGTGCGCCACCAACGCCCAGCCACTAAAACCATTTTTTAAGTCGCTTTGTATCAGGTACCTTGTCCCAGCAATGAGAAAAGTAACTAATATGGCATCCCATAAACATTATTAGCCAATGGGGTCTATTCCCTGTGCACTTTATCTAGAGAGATATTTGGATTGCAAGCTGGGAAATGAATCCAGGAGAAGTAGAATCCACCGGAGTGTGGGTGTCTTGGAAAAACAGGGCGGAGATGTGATGGTGGGTGTGGCTGTGGGCTCCTGAGATGAGGGCCTTTCCTGTGCCTCTTCCTCTCCTCATTTCACCATCCTGACAGGTTAGGAAACCCATCAGCCCACAGGGAAGAAAGCCACTCAGCCCTGTTACGTCACTTGCTCATGGGCACACAGCTGCTGAAGCCAGCTGGGTGACCTATCCTAGGGGTTCTGAGTCCCAAGTCCATGCCCACAGGCTCCCTCTAATCCAAACAAAGTCACCTGGACACGCCACCCTTCGCTCAAAGGCCTCATCCTCACTGGTGTTTGTCCCATGACTGTCTTCCCTTGGGCGGAGGTTGCTCTGAACAGTCAGGAAATGTGGGTGGGGCTCTGTTAGGGTACGTGGAAACCTTCCTCTGAAGGTCTGCAGGAATTAATAGGGGAAGCAGTTTAGGAAGGGAAAAGGCATACACGTTTATGAATGTCAACAGGGGAAAGATGCAAGGCCCTGGATTAGGGCCACAGTACCACAGACAGAATAAAACAGGCGAGAGTTACCGAGCACAGGAAAACCACAAGAGGTGTACTGCAACCCCTAACCGAGCAGGCTCAGAAGCTCACACCAGCCGTTTCTATAGAAGAGGAGAGAGTACAGGTCCAGGCATGAGACCACAGGAAGCCAGTGAGTGTGACATCTGAGCTAAAGAGTCACTGACCTGAGACACAGAGGCTTCCTGGCGGGGGGGGGGCAGTGTGGCAACTCTGTTGGCTGAGATCTGCCTGCTAGGCATGCATTTGCCTGTTGCAGTTACCATGGAAACAGACTGCAGGCCCAGAAGGTCCAAGTCCAGCCAAAGGCCAGAGATTGCTGTCTTTGCTAAAACAGTCTGAAAATCTTCCTTTTGGAATGTTGTAGGTTTTTTCTCCTTTAGTTTTGTTTTGTTTTTAGATTGAATCTTGTGGGCTGGCCAGATAGCTCAACAGGTAAAGGCAATTGCTTCCAAAACCGGCAACCTGAGTTCAGTCCCTGGGGCTCGCGCTAAACAAATAAATGCCATAAAAACCTAAAGGTAGGACGCTACTGTGTAACTCAGGCTAGGATCACATATTACCATCACACTCAGCCATTTTAACCTTGTTGTTTTTTCAGTCACCCTCACATTGCTGTGTGAGCATCCCTGCCATCCCTTCCCATCATTCAAAGTTGATGCTCACACTGTTAACTAGTTCCTGTCCAAGTCCAGCACAACCCGCTCCACTTTTCACTTAGGAATCTGACTCCTTGGGAGCCTAAGGGAGATGGAATTCTTCAGCATCTGCTGGTTTGTGGCTGGCTCTTTTTACTTAGCATAAAGTTTCAGGGTTCCCCCACACGCTGGCAGGAAGCAGTTCCATTCCTGGCTAAGGCTGGATAACCTCTAGGGGATAATATTTTCCTCAGCCATTCACTGGTGGACTGGCTTCCACCTTCTGCCTGTTCTGAGTGGCGGTGAACCGTGTGCTGGAAATGACCTCCACAGACACCATTTGTTAGTGCCTAGTGGAGGGTGAAAGCATTTGCTGATAACATTCAAGTCATTATTTGTGTGTATGTGCTCATCTGTGAGGTCAGAGGGCAGCTGCCCTGAGTCGGTTCTCTCCTGCCACCTTGTGGGATCCAAGGACAGGACTCAGGTTGTCAGGTGTGTACAAGCACACTTCACCAGCTGAGTCATCATCCCTCAAGCCGAGGGAGAAGGACGCCACCTGTCTCTCAAAGCCAGCCAGAGGCAGCCTTTGTGCTCAGGGCTTTCAGAACTAACATGTTTCCCTCCGTTCTGTTCTGAAAGCCTGTGTTTCCGGTTGGAGCAGGCTGGGATGGCAGAGCAGATCCATGGCTGAGTGTGTCACTTTTCTTACCGCCGTGACCACATACTTGAGAGGAAGCAACTCGAAGGGGGAAGGGTGGATTTGGCCCATGGCAGAGGAGATGTGGTGGCCCAAGTGGGAGGCTGCAGGTCACACTGCCTCTGCAGTTGGAAAGCAGAGAGGGGGCAGAGATGGGAGGAGAGTTTAAGACCTCAGGGCTTGCCCCACCCCTGTGACCCCACCCCTGTAACCCTGTAACCCCGCCCCTGTAACCCTGTACCCCGCCCCTGTAACCCCACCCCTGTAACCCAAGCTCTAAGGGTTCCACAACTTGGAGGACTCAACAGTGAGGCACAGAACCACTCCTGGTGCTTCTCCTGGGAGTCACTGAGCTGGAACCACCGCCCAAAGGACACCTGCTCTTATGGCCATTTATGGGAACCGGGGTCCCGGGATGGTCCCACCTTGGTTGGAACGTCCATCCCTGCTAACTAGTGGTAATGAGTGAGGGCCGCTCCGAAACTTGTCAGGAATAAGGAGAACGTCATGTGACCCAAGACAGTTCTCGTGCCAGGTGAGGAATAAGCCAGCCTGAGGTGGTGAAACGCCTACTTCTCATCTCCTCACCCGGCTTTCCAGGTTGCCCACACCTGGTCTCTGTGACCTGATAATGACCTCTTACCTCTGTATTTGTGCCCTATACCCTTGCCTCTTGGCCTCTGCCAGCTGCAGCCCCAGCCCTCAGCCAGCCCTTGTATCTGTAGACATGCTCTGCTTCCTGGCTGCCTCAGGTGTTGCCAGCTGTTGTTTCCGTACTTAACAGGGCTCTGCTTAGCGCACATCCTGCTGGAGGGGGAGTGTTTGTTTGCATTCCTTTCTGGGATCCCCACCAGCCTGAGGGTGGAGACAGGGTATCGCCTTTCTATTCCCACAGCCCTCTGCAGCCCAGTCCAAGAACCAGCAAGCCACTGCTGCTTTGGGATGGGGCGTAGGGACTCTGCTCTTACCCGCTGGGACTCATTCCTCTTTGTTGGGTCTTGTGAGTGATCTTCTTGCACGTCACAGGGCACCTTGCCCGGTGCTGGGCATGGGGGTGGCATGCAGTGACGGCTATAAAATGGCCTAGAACGCACAGCCACCGGCTTCTTCATTGCTTCTATGAGTGTAACCATCTTGGCAGGAATGAAGATATTCTAAAGAGATCCCTGAGGCCCCCCTCCCCTTTGGCTAGTAGATGATTGAACAATGGACCCCAAGAAATTAGAATCTTCCTAGACTCTCCTGTGAGGAGAGGGATGCTCGCCCGAGGGGAGCTTGTCTCTTGGAAGGGGAGTTCACACGGTTCTGGCAGCTTGTCAGACCACCAGGAGGAGGGACTGGGACTGCGTGGTGTGATGATGGGTGGGAACCTTGACCAGGATTGTTAAGTGTGCGTACCTCTTGCCTTCTATTTACACCTGAACCTCATGTCAGGGTCCCAGAGATGATGGGCTTTTTCTGTGGGATGTCACTGAGCCTGTGTTCCTTTGCTGATTTAAAAAAATATATATGTTTTTATCCATGTATGTGTGTGTCTGTGTGAGTGTATGCTGTGTGTGTGTGTGTGTGTGTGTGTGTGTGTGTGTGTGTGTACACCCACTCGAGGAAGCCAGAAGAGGAGTCTGGATGCACTGGAGCTGGAGTTAAGGTGGTCGCTGATGTGGGTGTTGGGAACCGAAATCCTCTGGAATAGCAGCAAGCGCTCTTGATCCCTGAGCCATCTCTCCAGCTGCTGACTTGGTCATGTTGAATTCTTCTCCTTCCTCTGCTTTTCACTGTTAACTTTGTCTTTAATTAACCTGTTGATGACAGATGGCAGAGCCTAGCTTGTTAGAGCCAACAGGCCCAGGCTCTAACCCTCATGACTGGCAACACAGGAAGCCCAGAAGTCATGGATGCCACCCTCCTTGCTCCTGCCCTCTGTGAATCTCAGCTATCCCTGGCCTCAGATGTCTTCACACTGAAGGAAAAATACAACTGCCAAGAGGTGGGGACAGTGCTGCCCTCGGGCGTTTCAAAAGATGCCACTTGTTGTTTTCAGTGAGCTCAGATGCTGGCTCGCAGCAGCCTTGGCTTCCTGTCACCATGAGCTCTGTTTAGTGTCTCAGCTGGACTTGGCTGAGGGGGAGGCTGCAAAGGCCATGCTCTCTGCTGTCCTGTGTGGGGCCCTTCTGCAGGCTTGGCAGCCTCTTCCTGCTTCTCCTGGAAGCTCTCAGCAGGGGGAGCTGGCTCCATCAGCCACAGCCTGGAAAGCAGGCCTGAGCACATGGAGGACCAGCCTGCTGGGCTGGACTTTTCTGACCTGGCTCAGATCTTTTTTGTTATTTTACTCATCTGACATGGAGATGGGCTGTTACATGTAACTGTTTGGTGTGATAGAAGTTGCCTATCTTTGGGAGGTTTTCCTTGTAAATTCACTAATTAAAAATACCTTTTGCAGACATTTGCCCTTGTATTACTGTTATTCATGACTTGGAAGCAGAAAGGCAGGGCATACCTGCTGGGGATGAGTTCTGGACAAAAGATGGCAGAGGGCAAGTTTCGTCCCTTGTGGGCTGTCTCGTGTGTGTGATGCGCCATGTTTGTGTAGGCGCCTGTCTACATGTGTGTGCTTAGATGTGAAGGCCAGAGGTCAACCTCAGGGGTCATTCCTCAGGACTTACCCATTTCCATTTCCTGTTTTGACGAGGTCTTTCACTGGCCTGAGGCTCACTGATTAACCCAAGTTGGCTAGCCACTGACCCTAGGGGTCCAGTTGTCTTTGCCTCTCTGGAGCTGGGATCTCACACACACACACACACACACACACACACACACGCACACACGCACGCACGCACGCACGCACACACACACACACACACACACTCCACCACCACCATCATCACCCCCACACCACCACACCACTACCACAGATTGCATTTGTTTCAATGTGGGTTCTGGTGGAAACTCAGTCCTTGCGCTTGTAAGGCACTTTGAGCCATCTTCCCAGCCCCTGCAGGTCACCCTTGAATATTTCCCAAAGATCCTTTTTAGAGGATAAGTGGGTTCCCACCACAGCCAGTCTTGACGTTCCACTTTGCCTCACTCTCGCCTGTGACCGTCTCCTTCCCACTCTGATGGGGCACTTACATTAATCACGCCTTTTCACATCTGGGGTCTTGACGATCCAGAAAGCTGTTCTTCCCAGGGCCAGCTGGTCCCTCGAGACAGGCCATGGCAGTTGGTTTCAAACACATTCAAACCAGTTGACCCAAAGTCCAGCATCCTGTGCGCACTGACCGTTGTCTAGCTCCACCCTTATCATCTCTAGGCCAGGTACCAGGCAACAATGGACAGCCCTGGGCCCGGAGCCCGTGAAGCTACTCAGGCTGGCCGGTCCTCAGCCTGCACGGGCTTTTCTCACATGGCCATCATAAAGCCCCTCGCCTTCATTTCCCTCTGCCTCCTGACCCACCCTGGCATTTCACCGTATGGCTCTGGGTGACATGCCTGCTGTGAATGCAGAAACCTTTCTGACATTGTTCTCTTGCATGCTTTTGATGCCAGATTAAAACAAGTCGTGGGTATCTCTGGCAACAATTTATAGCCCATCTCCAGCTCAGATCTTGGTGATTCCTGTTGCCTCCTGGTGCTTCTTAACTCCTGGCCACTGTGACCTCACTTGTTAGCCAGAAGACAAACGTGCTATCTCACTCCTGGGGCTTTCTTTTTCAGTTTTCCAATGCCACCCCTGACACAAAGAGTCTGTGAGGTGTTTGTTACCTTCACAGTGTAATCTGAGTCTTTAAAAAGGTCCAGGCCCCCAACAGCTGCACTGCGACATTTGCATCAGGAACCCAGCCCCTTCTCTGAGGATGAGGCTTTTCTGTCCCATTTCTGTTTTGGAATGAGCTTCTTCAACGACTTCGCCTTGTAGTAGGAGGGTGCACCAGGCGTAGCATCTGTTTCTCCTCCTAGAGAGGACAGAGTGCATCTTTGCTCAGGACTCCCAGCACCCAGGAGGATCTTGATTTCAAAACAAAATAAAAAACCTGAGTACAAGGCTGGGTCCATAACACAGAGTGTCCAAGTCATTAGAAGGGATCTGTAATCTAAGAAAGGTGAGAAGACAGAGGAAAGAAGGGCAGTAAAAGGAAGTCATAAAAGAAAATTAGGAGTATGCTAACCACGCCAGTACTCATAAAAAAGGGAATGAGTTTAAATGTTTTCTTGACTATCTCTCTGAAGTCCAAGAATATGAAGCTATAGAAGGCATTTCCACTGCAAATGCTATAGGAAATTTTTAGATAAGACATGAGAAGGTACCCACAGTGTCATGCACAAAATGTCACAGGGTACCCCATAAGTATGTACTATGCAGTTTATATTTGTCAGTCAGTGGGAGCTAAGTGTGTAGCCAAAAGGTAGAGTACCTGCCTATATATGCACAGCTTTGGATCGAATCCCCAGCAAGGCAAAGATTAATATTCATGAAAAAAAGATATTCTAAGAAAATTTTTTTTTCTGAGACATGGTTTCTCTGTGGCTTTGGAGGCTGTCCTGGAACTAGCTCTTGTAGATCATGCTGGTCTCGAACTCACAGAGATCTGCCTGCCTCTGCCTTCCAAGTGCTGGGATTAAAGGCGTGTGCCACCAACTTCCTGGCCCTATTTTAAGGAAATCTTAACAAACTTGTAAATATTTATTTATACTAGGCAAAAATAGAATTGAAGGTGAAACTTATAAGATTTTTTGTTTTTCAAATGGTTCAGCTGTTGGAGGCTTGGACCTTTATAAAGATTTAGATTACACTGTGTAACAGCCCCGACTGTCCAGAACTCACTCTGTAGATTAGGCTGGCATCAAACTCACAGAGATCTGCCTGCCTCTGCCTCTGTCTCCCAAGTGCTGAGATTAAAGGTGTGTGCCACCAAACCTGCTGAGATTTTTTTTTAGAAGTCATATAGAAAGTTATACATTTGGGGGCTGTAGAGATGGCTCAGTGGTTAGGAGCACAGTTTGCTCTCCCAGAGGACCAGGGTTATATTCCCAGCACCCACACAGTGTCCACCATCTGTAGCTCATTTCCAGGGAATCTGATGCCTCCTTCTGGCCTCAGGCATCCCTCTGCATACACACACACACACATGCACACACAAACACACACACACACATAAATAAAACGATCTTTTTTTTAAAGATAATGACCACCAGATAAAGAAAATCTCAATTCCAAAAATACGGGATGATCACCACAAAATGACAGCGAGAGTTAAATGATAATAACAAAAATGTCAGGGTAATTTATGAATAAGCCTATCAGTGTTTATAGTGATTACTTCTTGGAAAAGAGAGTTAGAGATAAACGTGACATTTTTATATTTAACCACATGAATGAGATATTTGCTTGATTTTTTATCATCGAGTGTGTAATTTTGAGTTGTTTGAAGTAATAAGTATATAAAACAACAAATGAATGTCAGATTAAGCCCCTTCCAATTGACAGGAAGAAAGCCTTAAAACGGAATTACTTAGAAATAAAGTCACAACAGTTGTTTCGTATCAAGACCTCAGCCTAAAGGCAAAGCAGCAGCCACTGTGCACGTATAGCCCGGGATGCACAGTGTAGGAAACAGCAAAGCTGACTGAAACGAGAAGGAAGGAAGACCCTGGGGAAGTGCAAGCAGCATCGAAACGAGACAAAGTGTTGTTTGCTCACCCACCCAGCGGGCAAGAAGACAGGGTGATGTGCTTGCTCCTTATCCAGACAGAAGTTAGCATCTCCTGTTGGTGGGGATACTGTGGGAGGAGGCCTTTGCCTTATATCGAGGGGGAAATAAACTGATTCATCACAGAAAGCATCAAACAGTCTCTGTCAGGTTAGACCTTTGTCCGTGGACAAACAGCCGCACTGACGGCTCCTCTAGAGCAAGATTTTCGTAGGTGCACTGTCCTGAATCAGAGTGCTGGAAGCCATCTCCATGGGAGCTGGGAACGGCGAGGAGTCAGCCAGAGAAAGGACAAACGCTGTTCTAGCTGGAGAGGTGGGCAAGCGTGAAGACTTGAGTTTAGATTCCCCAGCTCACACGTGAAGCAGGGCGCCATAGTGCAATCCTGAATCCCAAGGCAAGATGGAAGGCAGTGACAAGAGACTCCGTGGAAGTGTAAGGGTCAGCCAATCAGCAGCAAGCAAGCACTGTGTCTCATATGACGTGGAAGGTGTAAGCCAACCCCTGTGTCTGTTCTCTGACCTCCACGGTGCACTGTGGCACATACTGTGCACACCCACACATGAATATGCACGCACATGCACACATGCACACACACACAGAGATAAGAAAGGCTTCATTCCAAAGGGAGAACAAGAAAGAGCTTTGGAAATTGTCATAGGTAGTAACAGAGTAGCAGGGAAGTGCTGGGGGACTATAGGAGATGGAAAAGAAAGAGTTGGGTAACACACTGAAAAGAAGCTGGGCTGAAAGCTTTGGGGCAGGAGGCACAGAGATCTTAGCAAACAGTGGTCATCAGCTGAGAAACTGGAGTTTGATAACCCTCAGCCAAAGGTTATCTGTAATGCAATACTCTGCACTGCTCCCTGCAGCGAGATCAGCACTCGGGAGTTATAAACGGCGAGGACAGGATATCTGCTTGAATACATCTCAGAGTGGTGGCTGCTCTCCCATTGTAGTGAACTTAGGAGACACCTCACAGCTAGAACATTAGCCACCCCAGGGGCTGCAATCCAGGGAGTCTGGGAGCACAGGCTGCCTGCACAGCTCACACACTGCAAAGCTAAGTGTAGCCAGCAGAGGGCCCCAGTATACAAAGAAGAGACGTCGTTAAGAGGCGACTGCTCCAGCGCCACACTCCTGCTGGGTAGAAGGAAGCTTGGCTAACAGGAAGGACTGGAGCACAGTTCAGCCGATTCTCCTCGCTCTCTTCTCCCTCCTCCCAGTATCTGTACTGCTTTTAGTAATAGTCTCACTGTATTGTGTAAAAACAGTTAAAAGCGTTTATGTTTCTAACCTTTATGCCCTCTTATAGCTTAATTTTGTTAATGTATTTTTCTCCTTTTTCAAACTAAAAAGATCCTTTTATCTTATGTGTATGGATGTTTTGCTTGCATGTATGCCTACGACACTCATGCCTGTTGGCTGTGGAGGCCAGAGAGGACATCAGATCCCCTGGAACTGGAGTTACAGACAGTTGTGAGCCTCCATGTGGGTGCTGGGAATTGAACCTGGGTCATCTAAAAGAGCTGCAAGTGGTCTTAACCATTGAGCCATCTATTTAGTCCTCTTGCATTTTTATCTTATTATTGGGCAATTGTTTTCCTTTTTCCTACCCCCTCAGTTATTTCTCAAATAAACACATTTATTTGGCTCTTTTGCTACAGCACCTGCTTTCAGTTTCTTCCTCTTACACAGTCATCACTTGTAAGACCACGTGCAGCTGGGCAG